GGGGGGCCTTTACTTTTTTACTTCGAATGAATAAACATAATTTTATCAGTACAGGTGGTTGGCGGGTGCTGTGGTGTGTTTTGCTCTAATCTTCGGCACTTATATGACCTTTTTGTTGTGTTGCAACTGCCGTAAAACTCTTACTAGTCTTACTAAAACTAATAAGCAGTATAGAATTAACGTAGTAGGCTAATAGAAGCCTACTGAAATGATGTTAACTAACTACAATAGTAATTGACACAGCTTGCAGTGCATTGTCAATTTCTTTTTTTAAAAAGCTTTTCTCTTTCGACAAGAGAATTTTAAGTTCAGGGCGATCTGTCATGGGAAAGGGTTGTTTAAGTTTATGATAAATTCTGAGCCTGTCATCAGTGATCCCCCCTCCATATGCACAGGGCAGTTTTAGACTAACTGCATGAGTGGGTCTACAAAGGAAAATTTACTTGAAACGAAACTTATCTTTGCGCAGTTTTAAATTTTACAAAATTTCAGAATTGCTGAAAAAATTATAATGTCTCGCTGTCCAATTTATGACACCGGTAGCTATCTTTATTGTCAACGGAAAAGTTAGCAGTGTATTTTACTTTCATTATTGTCCCCTGCTCAGGTATTGTATTAGTTCTCTTTTTGTTACATTAATTTTTACCCGTTTTAGACGGACACTTAAACTCATATTCATCCCAAATTAATAATTTATGAAATATTTGATGGTTTTTATTTGACATCACACTAAGCCTGAATGTAGTGTAGTAATTTCGTGCTTTGAACCAATCGGGGGGTTTCAGGGGGGGTCATGCCCCCCCCCTCCATGGTTAAAAAAATCTGGGGGATTACAGGGGGCTGAGGGGGGTATATATGCCCCCCTGTTTTTGTCCACGATTTGATGTTTTATAATTATGTTAGGGGGGAGGGGTCAAGGTTGTTTTTTTCTGTAATAAACTTGATGTTTTACAGTAAGGTTTGAAATTTTCTTGGAAATATTTCGTTTGTGACAGTTTTTGTGTTGTGCGTAGTATGTAGTAAGGCTTCTATGTGGGAGCTGCAGACAAAAACATGACTGTTTGACCCCCGAAAGCATTGCCCTGTGTGGGGGAGTGAAAGTAAAAACTTACTGGACTTTTGATTTAATAATATGCTTTTAAAATGAAAAAGATGGGGAAATCAAGGACACCAGTAAAAATCTCTCTGCCGTACCATTAGATATTTATAGAGGTTTTTTTTTTTATCGTAATGTGCCTCAAACACTTAAAGAGCAAAATTTTAATTGCAGCAGATAACAGCATAACTGTCATATATACTATATATATATATAATATGTATATTTGAATACGTTATCAGCTGATGTGTAGAACAGTATAAGTTTGGCATAATTTTTTATCATTCCGGATCAGCCATAGTTTGATAAATATGTCAAGTGGCAAAAGCCTTACCCTGCTTCTGTCATTGCTGATAGTGGGTGTCAGTGGGTGCTTTTAAGACACATATGATATAAGATAAAATCTCTCAATAGAACACAGTGTCCCTACAACGGGCTGCTTTTCTGTTGGTGTGTCGTTGTTTATTGGGGTTGGAGGTATCTCATCTTTGTTATTGTATTATAATAAATTGTGGTAAAGATACCTGTTCCAAGTAAAGAATAAAATTGTTTAAGATTGTCCAAAAAATTGTTTAAGATTGTCCAAGTTGACTTTTTGTGAAATTGCATGGATTTTTTTCAACGTTGACTGAAGTGAAGTGGAGAGTGTCAACGTGTAAGTTCCATAATTTGACAGCCTTATTATTATTTTTTTGTAACCTGTGTTGAAATGAGCAAACGATGACATTAGCTGTTCTATATGATATAAAGAATAAAAGTGCCAGTTTATTAAAAGAAAGACTGCTCTCAAACTCCAAAGGTTCTGTGAGATGATTGTCTTTTTTATTTCGTCATTCTTTTTTTATTTCACAGAATTCTTTCCCAGTCACAAAGACGTTTGGCACCAGTAATGGGCTACTGTTGTTAAGTGTTGTGTCAAATGTTCTGAGTGGATTGAACTGTTATATATCATCCCTGCTGTCAGTTTTACTTCTGCGTATCCATGGCTGCGAAAGAGGTTTCCGATGTTTCCATCACACACGTGACTGTGGAAAATGAACGTACGGATTCCAAGAAAAGTAGAGACAATATCCTGGCACGCATAAGTTACAAAATAGTATGGGCTTTGGAAACTTCTTTTTTCAGGTATACTTTACTTTTTCTCTTTTTTAATATAAGTTTTTAAGTTTCATCAAGGTTGTTTTTTTGTTCAATTTTTAATTTTGTTTTGAATGTGTATGCTAGGATTTTTGTAAGTGTTTCACAAGTTTGGTTGTGAGTTCTCAACTTTGGGTCACTTTATTTTGTATTATGTAAATATAAGATTTATAAATATTGTATCACGTTTGTCTTTTTTTCTGTAAAGATATTTTTGTGGTGAAAAACAAAAACGATTAATTGAAATAAAAGTATAAGACAAGAATAGCATTAAAAAATGCTTTTTTTATATTTTACTCTCACTGGGAAGACCACAGAAGCCTAATTAGACAGACGTAAATCAAGAATAACTTACTTGGAGACCTTAACAGATGAGTGATGGGAAAAGATCAGGATTGGGTTTTTTTGTGTGTGTGTGTGTGTGTGTGTGTGTGTGTGTTAGGGGGGGGGGGGGGGGTGAGAGCTTTCGAGCAGAGGAATGAGTGGGGAACCATGATTACCATTGTCTGTTTAAGATTTGCCACTTGATGACATTTGGTTTAGGTGGAATAGGCAATGATTCTCCTCAGTCATATAAGATGTAAAGATTTTTTAAACACCTATTTCCTTGACATATATGTCTTAATATTATGATTAGGAGTTGCTTGTAGTCATTATGTGTTATCCATCTGTTGAAGTGAATGAAGGTAAGTTGCCAGTAAAATTAATAATTTTTGTCTTGTGTTTTTTTGCAGTTATTTTCATGTGCATTGTTTACTTTGTGATGAATTTCGATGGACTTATAACCTGCACAGTTCTCAGTTCTCACCTTTATGTTCTCTTGTACCATTTTAAATATTTTTCATAATTAGAAGGAATTAATAGATGCTGCTTGTCTAGTCTATTTTCACACATCTGAGAGACATAACATTCTAATGCCTGCCACTCTCAGTTCTAGTATAAAATGTTATCTGTGGATTATCATCTTACAAGTACTAGTGACAGCACTTGGAGGAGGGCCCTTTCAAACACTGGAGATGTTATCTTTCCCAGGTAGTTGAGCCATTATGAGTCTAGGGGAACGATCACAAAGCCACATAAGAGCCTCTTGGAATGGGTTAAGGAATTATTTGTTATCGTTGTTAATCTGTACTGCAAAGTTTTGGAGCTTGTCGAAGACGCCGCCGGTGGGGCTGGCAAGTGCCTACATCCAGGGATCACATAATATGGAGGAGATATAAGTGTTTCAGCAGACTTTTGGGGTAGAAAGATTATGCTATTAGAATAAGTGAGTGGTTGGAGGGTGCCACGGGCAGGACCTGCTTTTTTTGTCTCTATAGTTTCTGTCTGCCTACCAGACTTTCCCCTGCACTAAGTGATAGTTATTGAGTTAATGTTTCTCTTTATTCAGAAAATCAATTAAATGACTACATGAGAATGACAAAGGTGTGTTATGGGTATACAATTGGTCAGGCCGCCATGTTGGGGTTCTCTCTGCAAGCGTTGGTTGTTGACAATCTTAAAAATATAATGATAACAGAATAGATAGGCATCTGTATAATATGGCTAATTTCCGCTCAGCAGCTAGCTCTCTATGCACGTTGCAGTCTATATTATTACCCCAGCAGATCTTATAGCTTTCTGAAACAATCCCAACTTTCTGGGAAGCATACAGTGCAAGTTGCCATTTTATAGTTGCTAAAACACAAACATACTGACAAGATCTTTTGCAGCCTATGGCCAGGTATCTTTTCACACTTGGGGTCTGAGAAGAAATTTTGGATAAAGTGCATTTCCCAAGGCCACAATGTTAGGCCTGAGGCTTGATCCCCCGAACTTGCAACCTCATAATTACGAGTTCAGCAGCCTAACGGTACCATGTACCTGCCTCTTTAAACACTCTGAATGGATCCCCCCCCGCCTTGCCATGTCCCCACATTAATTTTATGCTTGCCAATCCACGGTACATCATTGATACCTTAAATCTTGACTTTGAGTATGAACTGTCTTTTTTTTTTGG